AAATTAATAAAGGCTGGGAACTTGTTTAACTGTGTGTGTAAACGAAAGTTTAGTGCATGGTTCCTAATTCACACCTTTTGTGTAAGTGGATATATTCACTACCCATTTAGGAAAGTGGAAATCCTCACTTCCCTGAAGAGGGCAATATGACATTGCATGGAGCACAGTGACTGGGGGTGGGTGGGTATTGCGCTCTATAAATGTCAACAGGATTTTACCTGCTATCATTTACAAATATGACGCTTCACTAATGTTTCTTTGAATTCTGATAGCCTCCCTCCTTATACTGAGGCAACCCCAAATCAACATTTCAGGCCATGGGCTTCCACCCAACAAGTTTTATAAGTCAATGGGAACTCAATTATCAATCTCCCATATCTCAGTCCAACAGTCTAGCTAATACTGCTGAAACCTGCTGTATCACAGAAACAATAGTCCAAAATACTAGGATCATACAGAGCAGAAAGCTGGTTTGGCTATAGCCAGACACATTCAGACCATCGCTTAATATGACAGCAATAAGTTAAAGTGAGCCCTGAACTTTCACTCCCTCATTTCTTCTTTCATGCCGTGCCCTTCTCTAAGCACAGCTATTGCTGGAGAATTTTCCAGAGGAGAGAACAAGCTTCAAGTTTAATATTTAATATACAGTGGGGTCTTGACTTAAGAACGGCTCGAGTTAAGAACATTTTGACTTAAGAACCACTCTCTTAGGAAAATATTGACTTGACTTACATACTTAGATTTGAGTTAAGAACTGAAAAAAACCACATGGGAGGCAGGGAAAGTGCAAAATGTGAACTTTCAGTTAACTGTTGGCCAGTGAAAAGGGTGCCTGTCTGCTTCCTCACTCCTCCCAGCGTTTAGAGAGTGTATTGGGAGACAGTCTTCAGACTGCCTGGTACTGCCTGGACTGTATTTTCCCTGCCTTCCCTGAACCTTTCTTGACCTAAGAAAAAAAGAAACAAAATATCCCCCTCTAGTGGTCGAAGGCAGAATAGCAGCTTCCCATTAGTTTCTATGGACAGAAAAGTGCAGATACAGATCAAATGGTTTTCAATGCATTCCTATGGGAAATGCAGATTTGACCTGAGAACTTTTTGACTTGAGAACCGCCTTCCAATACGGATTAAGTTCTCAAGTCAAGACCCCACTGTATGTATTCATTATTAGAAGTGTCACAGGATTCTGTTCTTACTACAAAGCTAATATAAGACATGAACTGCCTCTTTTAATGCATGGTTCCTCATTCCCATCATTTACATGGGTTGTTATACCCAGTTATGCAAGTGGAAATCCTCACTGCTTTGAACAGGGCAAAATCTAGCTTGCACCACTGCAAGCTAGAAACTGCATGGAGCACAATGTCTGTGGAGGTTTTATAGTGTACTCAAGGCACGATTGCCAATTATCCTAGCCTAATTCTTCACTTGAGATCACAGGCTGGTTTTGCTCCAAATACAAATTTCTTACAGCCTTTCACAAACTAAACTCTCCATGAGACACTGGAAGCCAGCAAGGAAGAGTACACACATATATGAACCCCCAGCAGAGTGTATATTTTGACTACTGAAGATTTTAACACGTTAAACCCTAATTGATGTTAATTCTTAATAGCTGAAATCCTGTTCACAGAATCAACGTATCTTTCTTTCTTTTCCACCATGGTAAACAGAGCACCACTGATGCAGTTCTTCAGACTTAGTGCAAGGGTGTGTGTTCCCCCCACCCAAGAAACATGGCAGGATATTTTCTTCAGTGGTCCTTTGACTTTAATGTTATCTGACTCCATATGCTGTACTGGTCAAATGTGACATTCCTACAGGATTTGCAGAACAAGTGAGCAGCAAATGCACATCTGTTGCTCAGTAAATTGATTGTCTGTAAAGGCCAAAGGTTTCCGATCATGAAATGATCCTAGATTAATCTTCACCTACAGTACAATATGTAACACGACCCAAATAATGACAGAAAGAGACAAAAGGTTAGGCCTTCTTTTCTGCTCTGTCCAATAAGTAGCTTTCTGAGCCAAAGAAACAAATTGCAAAGCTATAATTTTGCCCAGAATCTGATGCCAGTAAACAGCAGGCACTCTCAGAGCTTAGCAGGAGAGAATAATGAGGACCCAATACATCAACACACAACGTGAGTGTGTTTTATGAAAGCAATGAACTCAAATTCATAAGGAATTTGTAGGGGGGAAGAAAGAAGTGACTTTCTTTGGAATCCTACCAGTTTCAAAGTGCCTGAGAAATAGTCTCGCTCATGTGTGTGCGCGCACACACACACAGTGATATTTTATAACGAAGATAATACATAATGAAAAAGAAAAAATGTTTTAGAATTTTATTTTTTACACAGAATATTTTCCAGAGCACATATTATAGCACAAGGGAATTGGGATTTTAAAGAAGAAGCTACTGGGAATCAGGGTCTTTGTAACAGAAACTGGAAATGCTTCCTAGGTAAGGCATGTGCAAATCCACCTGAATATGGAAATCAGCTGAGATGGTCTTGCATCAGGGGGAAATTTATGTATTTTCTCAGCGCCCCAAACAAGTTCTCAGTGCCCCAAACAAAATCAATCTCTTTAAATGCCAACAGAGATTAAGCTACCCCCTACCTATTTTACTGGAAATGTGTTCAGGGGCAGAAAATGAACAAACTGAAATGAAAAACCAACCTTGTAGATTACTGTTCCACTACTGAAGCTGCAGCAAGTTTAGTACCTCAAAGTACATTCCCTTTGGCAGCTACTCTGTAAAGCAAGGAGAAGAGTTGTGAGAAAAACATAAGAGAGTTGTGGGGATCTTTGATGACTGTTACGGCAAACTTTTCCATCTAAGGCATTGTTATGTCTTTCCCTGGGTCTCATATAAATCATCCAAAGGCTTACTTCTTTATCCCTTGGCATCGCTAGGAGTAAAAGATGGGGACAGAATTGAAACAATAGTGTAAGAAGGTACATGAAGACAGGTGGAGAGGGTCATTCTGTAAACACCCATATCAGAGAGCACCTGAACTTTTCTTCCACTGACGCAATATCTGGAGCAAATTCTGGTGCAATTGACCATTTACCAGAAAGATAATGTGGGGTGGGGGAGGGAACAGGGCAATTTGCTGAAACTGTGGGTTCCATTCCCAGGCCTATTACCCAAAGACAAAACCATTGCTACATAGATCGCAATGAACCACTTCCCTTCCCTGGCACCACACACACATCCATTTCTTTCCATGGTTGGACAGAGAGAAGCTTCCTCCCCTGCATGTGTTTGTGCAAGAGATTATTTCTAGGGATTTCTGAAGTCTACAGTATTGTAATCTAAACAACTGTTTCAGCCTCCAGAATGAGGTAATGCAGAAAACCAGGAAATGGGACAACACAGTTTTCTGCACTCCCATATATATATATATATATGAGAAGTATATATATGAGAAGTAATGGGAGTGCAGAAAACTGTGTGTAGAATAGATAGATAGATAGATAGATAGATAGATAGATAGATAGATAGATAGATAGATAGATAGATAGATAGATAGATAGATAGATAGATAGATAGATAGATAGATAGATAGATAGATAGATCGATCGATCGATCGATCGATCGATCGATCGATCGATCGATCGATCGATCGATCGATCTATACAAGTCTCTTGGGACCAAAGAAGAAAATGACTGGGTGGATAAAGAATTTTCTGTCAGTAGGTACTATCCCAGGGAGTGTGGAATAGATGTTTAGTATCCACAGTGGATGTTCTTGCATGTATGGGCCCAGATGGAACCTGTACTCCAGAAGCTGAGCTTTGCAACAGGTGTGCATTCTGAAGAGCCCACCCACTGTAAAATTGGATACCTCCCACTCAAAATTGTTTTACTCATCTGTTGATGGAGATCCTTAATTATTAAAGTATTTCCACAGCAGAGTCAAAGTTAAAATTTGGTATACAGAGACAATATTTGGCCTTGAAGATAATCAACAATTTATCATAAGAAAAATAATACTAGATTAATCTCCAACTTGGTTTCTCACTTCTCCACCGATATAGATGCAAAGGAGGAGACTAAAAGATTTCACTTGCAATTTTCATTAATCACAATTTAACATATTGCATAAACATTGGTTACTTTTAAATGTGATTTGTTTCAGTAAGCCAAATTCCATAACCTGTATGGTTTGAAGTTGTTTGGTCCCAAACGAGTCTTAGTTAACATTTATGTTTGTTGTTTTATATGACAGAACAAGTTGTGATTCAACAAAGACTGAAGAAAAACTTAAACAGATTTCTCGTGTTGGAGGATGAGTGGAAAGCACAACATACACATTTAAGAGCTGCTCAGAATCCCTCTCATCAAACGGCTAAAATATGCTTTAGAACTGCATTTGAACTAGGGCATATAATCCAATATCTTTGTGTTATTACAGTAATAGAAAAATTGTTCCTCTCCCTTAAAAGTTCATAGCCTATTTGCATTGCTGAGATATTGCTTTGCTGAAATTACCTAGAAGTGAAATTTAATGAGAGTTTCTACATAGCATATACCATTATATTATCCATCAAGGTCTTTCCCCATGATTCAGGCCATTCTACAATGCATACCCACAGGTCATGGTCAGCAGACTGTCCTTTCCAAAGTTAATTTAAAATTTCCTGTTTGTAAGATTCAGCTCTTTTTATTGCTTCCTTCAATGCAATGAGGTTACCGGTCAGAAACCACTCCTTAGGCAGCTTATTTTCCCCTCAAAAGTAGAAGACACTATGTACTTATTACAAACTTTTTAGAAGAGTGTAAATCTTGGGGATGGGGTAAAGAAAGGAAAGTAATAATTAAAAAAGTACTTGGGAGCCTTTGGTCTTCCAGATTTTTGTAACTAAAGCTCCCAGAATCCCTTATTGCTGGCCATGCTGACTGGGACTTTTGGGACATGATGTTCAAAATATCTGGAGAGCCAAAGGTTTCCTTGCCACTGTTCAACATGTTAAACAGAAAGCTTTACCATGAATTAATGTGCAAAGAGGAAGCTTTGAATTATAGGATTAAGCCATTTGCAGGCATTTATCCCCTCTTGGTTTTAGCATGACACTAAAAGGGACTACACATGCTGTCGATTCCCCCTCTATCAAAATCACACCACTCCACCCTCTTACATTCTATCATCAGAACAATGTGGGAGGGAGCCTCTTCAATCTGTGGAAATTGTCTGGACAATTTCAAATCCTGCACAATCGTGGTTCCAAGCTGTACTGGCTAGTTGCAAATTTAGAAATGTAGATGACTCCTTGCTACACTATTTTCCTTCGCAACACATGGAACACAATAGTGTTAAAAAACCACAACATGAATCCTTTAAATCCCCAACAGTGCTTGCATTTAATTGTCAACCATCACCACACACATACACACACACTCTCCAAACCCAAACACAGCAAATGGGATCGGAAACCATGCACATGTGTGTAGGCATCCTTCAGTCTCAAGAGACTATGGTAATGTGCTCTGTATGGAGGACTTGGAACAGCGTCTAGTGTGGCTGATAAGGCCAATTCGAGAGTGACAATCCCTTCCACACTGAAGACAAATACAATCTGTCCCCTATCCAGCTCCCTGATTTTGCTGCTTTCGGGACTGCCTCTTCACCTCAGCCTGTTGAATAAGGGTCTCTTCAAATTGGGAAAGGCCATGATGCATCGCCTGCCTCCAGGCTGAACGCTCAGATGTCAACGTTTCCCATCCGTTGAGGTCCATTCCTAAGACCTTCAGATCCCACTTGTAGATATCCTTGTATTGCAGCTGTGGCCTCCTTCTGGGGAGATTTCCCTGCACTAATTCTCCATACAGGAGATCTTTTGGAATCTGACCATCAGCCATTCTCACAACATGCCCAAGCCAACGTAGACATCGCTGTTTCAATAATGTATACATGCTAAAAATTCCAGCTTGTTCTAGGACTACTCTATTTCGACCCTTGTCCTGCCAGGTGATACCAAAAATGCATCAGAAACAACACATATGGAATGTATATAGCTCCCTCTCCTGCCGTGCACGAAGGGTCCAGGACTCACTGCAGTACAGGAATGAGCTCAGGACACAGGCTCTACAGACCTGGATCTTGGTATATGCCGTCAGCTTCTTATTAAGCCATACTCTCTTTGCGAGTCTAGAGAACATGGTAGCTGCTTTGCCAATGAGTTTATCCAGCTCAACATCTAGGGAGAGAGTGTCATGCACATACAGAAAACACTGAGACTGAAGAATGAGTGAACAGATTAGGGATATGCCATAAAAAGTGCAGAAGCCAATGTACTCAGCTTCATTCCACTGGTGATAGCCCGTGCTCCAGACAGTCAAAACAGAAGTAGGACATACAGAATGTCAGGTTATGGGGATCCTGCACCAACCTTGGGTCGTTTCTGGCTGCTGCTATCCCCTTGCCAGTGAAGTTAGAAGTCACGGTTGTCACACCTTGATCTGGACACCATAAAGAACAACATGCAGCAGAAATGTAGAGGAAGGCAAGATACTGCTTTATACTAAACCTATAACCATAGCATGGTATGGAAGATTTATGACTGGATCTCTTGAGATTTTATGTTCTCTTAAAAACACCTCTTCTAGTTTATAAATGGTAGATGTATGGGGAAAGGAGGAATACCTTCTTTTTTCCCATGCCCTTTGTGCACTCTAAATGGGATTGCAAAACCCAATTAAATTGCAAACTCCATAAAAGCTTCTGCTTGCTCTACTGAGAAAAATCTAAAGGCACTGTTACTCTTACAGGGCTATGCAGGTTCTTTAAATCAATGAACAACACAAAGTAAGGCTTAAGGCCCACATTCCTGTTCTAAGCTGCTCTGGAAAAAAAAGCAGAACTAATTTTAAGTGAAAATGAAGTAACTAGCAGGTCTCATCATGGTTCTCCTATCATATTTTGTTTGGGATATAGAATAGCATACGTTAAATGCAGGCTTCGCCATCCAGGTGTATGACCCAACAGGAGATGTAGTCTAACACATGTCAAGGTTGCTCTGTTCAAACTGGCAGCAGCATTCCAAGGTCTGAGGCAGGTATTTTTCCCCTACCACCTGCTGCTTAATTGGAATAGTCAAGGATTAAATCCTGTAAAACACGCCATACGTTTCACCATAAAGTCACTGTAGTTCCTGCCCAAAGCTTCATGTAAGCAATTTAGTACAAGCAGCCTGTCAGTTCTTATCCTGAGCTCAGAAGGACAGCACTATTTCCACTGCCTTGGCTAATAATACTGTTAAATGCCACACCCACCCACCCACCCACAGAGGGATAGGTCCCCTTGAAGGCAGAACAGAAGAGGCTCAGCAGGCTGAGTAAACCTAATAATTTTACTAGAAGAGTAAAAAAACCACAGGGACCAGCTCTGAGCATGACAAACAGACAAAATCTGTTTAATATCTAATAACTCAACATATCTAATGTTGAGTTGGACATTGCCCGAACTGTGAAAACAGGAACCCCAGCCATCTTGCTTGCATGGAAAGCAGCTCCAAGATTACGATTCATAGCCAGTGGTGTGACCTCTTTTGCCCTTAGTCTCACCCTCAACATGGAGAGTTAATGAGAACAAAACAAAGCAAAAAATAACTTTTGAAAATCTCCAACTGCATTCAGACAGAAGACTATAATCATTCCACTACTTCTCCCCATCTACTTCAGCATAAATGATTATTTGTTAAACAAATTGTTCACCAAGCATGATTGAGGACAGCAATACTGTGTAGGGCA